AGAGAGAGAGAGAGAGAGGAGAGAGAGAGAGAGAGAGAGAGAGGGGGGGGGGGGCGAAAGAGGGACAAGTCATGGGCCCCAAAAAAAAAAAAAAAATGCATCTACCTGAATCCTGGATCGAAATTCCACTCGGGAATTCGGAGCTAAAGACTTCACGCACGATTACACTCTTCAGCCATTTATAGAAACGGCAGCGACTAAGTGGAGAAAAAAGTGACATTTTTACTGCCCGAAATGTCAGGCGATCGACACAAAAGGTCAAGTTGGCTGCCCTGGATGACCTTTTTTTAAGAGAATTATAGAGTAAAGAGCTTGTTGAAACGGGGGGGGGGGGGGGAGAGGTAGGCGCGTAAGGAGATGGTATGAAAGGTAAGGGTGAGAGGGAGAGGTCGAAGTGAAAGGGAGTGAGAGGTGGGGTGAGAGAAGGAAGATTTTGAGAGTGAGGGGTGGGGGTGAGAGGGGGAGTGACGGAGTGAGGGGTGGGGGTGAGAGGGGAAGTGAGGGGTGGGGGTGAGAGGGGAGTGAGGGGGTGAGAGGGGAGTGAGGGGGGTGAGAGGGGGAGTGAGGGTGGGGGTGAGAGGGGGAGTGAGGGTGGGGGTGAGAGGGGGAGTGAGGGTGGGGATGAGAGGGGGTGAGAGAAGGGGTGAGAGGGGGAGAGAGAAGGGTGAGAGGGGGAGTGAGAGAAGGGGTGAGGTGGGGAGAGAAAAGGGAGAAAGGTGGAGGGGAGGGGGAAGGGTGAGAGGTGGAGGGGAGGGAGAAGGGTGAGAGGTGGAGGGGAGGGAGAAGGCGGAGAGAGGGTGAGAGGGGAGAGAGGGGAGGGAGGGGGAAGGGAGAGAGGTGGAGGGAGGGAGAAGGGTGAGAGGTGGAGGGGGGGGAAGGGGAGAGAGGTGGAGGGAGGGGGAAGGAGAGAGGTGGAGGGGAGGGGGAAGGGAGAGAGGTGGAGGGGGGGAGAGAGGGAGGGAGAGGTGAGAGAGGTGGAGGGAGGGGGGAGAGAGGAGGGGAGGGAGAAGGGAGAGAGGTGGAGGGGAGGGGAAGGGAGAGAGGGAGAGGGGGGGAGAGGGAGGGAGGGAGAAGGGAGAGAGGTGGAGGGGAGGGAGAGGAGAGAGGGGAGGAGAGGGAGGAGGGAGAGAGGTGGAGGGAGGGAGAAGGGAGAGAGAGGGAGGGGAAGGAGCGAGGAGGAGGGGAGGGAGAAGGATGAGAGGTGGAGGGGAGGGAGAAGGAGAGAGGTGGAGGGAGGGGGAAGGGAGAGAGGTGGAGGGGAGGGAAGGGTGAGAGGTGGAGGGAGGGGAAGGGAGAGAGGTGGAGGGGGGAAGGAGGAGGAGGAGGGAGGAGAAGGGTGAGAGGGGAGGGGAGAAAGGAGAGAGGTGGAGGGAGGGGGAAGGGAAGAGAGGTGGAGGGGAGGGAGAAGGGTGAGAGGTGGAGGGGAGGGGAAGGAGAGAGGTGGAGGGGAGTGTGAAGGAAGCGAAGGGTGAGAGGTGGAGGGGAGGGAGAAGGGAGAAGAGGTGGAGGGAGGGGGAAGGGAGAGAGGTGGAGGGGAGGGGGAAGGAGAGAGGTGGAGGGGAGGGGGAAGGGAGAGAGGTGGAGGGGAGGGGGAAGGAGCGAGGAGGAGGAGGAACATACAGGTATCTTGCAAACACAACTTAAGAAGTATTGTGACAAAAGGTCATCGAACTTTTAAACAAGAACCTAATACTGATTTCTAACAAGAACTGCATGTGATCATATTGCCAAGAATTAAGAAACAGTATTGTACAACCTTCAACCATTCTTATACAAAAACAAATATCTTATTCTTGTACACTATAAACATCTTGGAATATTTTACATTAGTTGAGCCACTTTCCTTATTACATCGATAACACTTTTATATCTATAACCTTCTTTTTTATTTTTATTTTAAGCTTTTCGTTTTAAAGGATTTTTTCATGATTCCTCATCTCCTTTTAAATAAAACCACTCAATTTATTTTATTTCTCAGTCTCTTAGAAAAAACTCGTTCGTTTTCTCTCGTCTCAAAGACTGAAACTATCATGGGATGAATTTTTTTTTCCGACTTTTTACCTCTTTCCCCGTTTTCTCATTCAAAGGATGAAACCAAAACACCATCTTACGTGGAATCATTTTATCACAAATCACGCAAATACAATCAAGTGCTGACATGTATTAAACTAATAAGACTCCACCAAAAAAAGGTTGATTTTATTAAAAATCTAGATCAAGTACTCCTCTTACAATCTTAATAAAGGCTAAATTGTGGTCCTTCCAAGTATCATGTGATCACAATCATAATAACGATAAAATGATAATAACTTTCATTTTCCTTATGGAGATATAAATAATTTATATGGTATGCTTTTCTCTCTTATTTGAGGGAAAGCTATAAAATAATATTTTTTTCTGTGTTTAGTAAACGACAAAATATTTTCCTTTTCCAAAGTACTTCTATGGATATCCAGACATAAACTAGTGTTAAATACAGAATTATTAGACAGTAATACTGCACTCACATCTACTGAATACTGACTTTATATCAAGTTTAATAATGATTATTGACAAAGAAAAAATTACGAACCACAAGAAATGCAAGTCTCTTGTATTTTTTCCTCGAAATGGATCACTCCTTCATAAAAAAAAATCACACCCCATTGAAGAAAAAGAAAATTAAGCACATTATATTTACTGAAAACATAACATTAACCCCCAGACAATTTTTGGCAAAGGAAAATACCATTACAAGGAGCGTTAATTAACAGAGACGTGCATCCCCAAACACATGGTTCAATCTCTTATGTACATGTGCTTTTGTTGCTGGTCTGTCGACTCGCTTATCTTGTAAAACACAATGGAAGATGAATTGGCTGAATAATGACGCGCAGATGTTTAAAAATAACAAGAAGACTAGTTACGATAGGTAAGATGGGGGGGAGAGGGAGAGAGATGAAGAAATAATAATAAAAAGGGGGGACTATATCAAAATGATCAAGTTTCTAAACCTAACATCATGTAGTTTTAAACTATCCTAGTGTATTCATTTAGTGTCAGCGGAACAGTCGTGCTGGTGAGAACTACAACTAAGATGAGTTAGTTACAATGAAATGACAGCGAATTCACCCTTGTTGGTATGTTATGAAGGGCAAATAAAAGCAAGGAAAGAATCCGATGCAGAGCGATCCAGAACTGTTTTTGATTTTGGGTTCCTCTGTCTCTTATGCTAGAGCAGATTGTACTAGTGGATGTAAGCCTAACTGCTCTGAGCTCATTCAACTACAGCACGCATTCCTTCGGCCTACGAGAAATGAACCATTTTTTTTTCTTTACATATCTCTCTTGAAGGATATGTACAGATACTCTAACCCTAGGAGCGGATATGTCAAAGCTGTATATTTACTGCCATTACTAAGTTACATCGGACCATTCAGCTGAGGTAAGTTTCCGAGTGAATCTCCTTCCAGATGCTCCTAACGCTACTGAATACATCACTGACTTAGATCCTTTAACTGACTCTTCGAAGCTGGGTTTAAATCCTTACAATATGTCTTCCTGTTTCGCTTTTGTTAGAGATGTTGATATTCTACACGGTACGGGTTTGTGTGTCTTGTGGCCTGTGTGTGTGACCGACATGCTCGCGATTTCACTCATTATCTCCCGCGCGTTTCTCTTGATCCTTACGCCGCCTGCTGGAACTGCTCCCTCTTCTTCTTGAACTCCTCCTGTCTCCTCTTCCTCTCCTCCTCCTCTCTCTTCTTGTCCTCGAAGGCCCGGTAGGCAGCGTCTCCTACTTCGAGGATGCGCGCCTTGGCCTCGAAGAACCTCTTGGCGCCGCCCACGCCCACGTTGTCCACGTCAACCTCCTCCTGCGCCGCCAGCTTGATCACCAGCTGCAGAGAGGGCGGGGAAAGCATGCTATTAGTGTCACTGAACCAGAAGCCAAGAAGCTATTATCCTTTCACATAATAATCTTCGTTACATATTCATGTCTATCGATACCAACCAACGTATCTCACCAACGATCGTCTAATATATGCTGCGAAAGATTATTACAATTATTTTTTTCTCTTTCTCTTTTTTATCGGTTCGAACCAAGCCCTTTAATCTCGACCCGAACCCAGGCCGGTTTTAAAGCCCGCCCTTCACGACGGCGCCTTTAATACTTACGTCGAGGTTGATCTTCCCGGTTTTCGACTCGAGGTCCTTCACAAGCTTCATGAACTCGTCGAGGGAGAGCTTGCCGTCCTTGGCTGCCTTGTCGTACGTCTCCTTGGCCTCCAAGTGCGTCTGGGTGAGCTGCAGGGCCTCGAGGAGCTTCTTGAAGCTGTCCAGCGAGATGTGGCCCTTCTTGGTGTTGGGCGTGGCGTACCTGCAGAACAGGCTGTACAGCTTGTTGAGCTCCTCCTCGGAGTACTCGGGGTGCTGAGGAAGAGGAAAAGAGTTGCTGTCAGTACAGTCACTGGAAAAGAGTACAGCGGGTTTTTTTACACCTATTCATCTCCCCTCCCTTCTCCCTCTTCCTCCTCCCTATCTCTCTCCCCTGGCTTCTCCCTCCTCCTCTCCCTCTCCCTCCTCACCCCTCACCCCCCCCCCTGGCGCATTATCTAACTCCAAGCAGTGGAACAAGACGCATACAATTTGCATCCTAACGCCAGGAAGTACAAAACATGACCCCGACATCCTTCTACCGTGACGTTGCAGACAAACGAACTTAATGCAATTCTTTCAACAGGAGTTCGTGTGCGGAAATGCAAGCATGTGCACACACAATGTACACATGCAAGAGTACTAGTATGCCGACGAGAGCTTAGAAGAGCTTAAGAATAAGTAATAGCAGAAGAGAGTGGACTTATTCGACAACTTCTGAAATTTATAAGCTGCAAATTTGAGGGAAGACGTCAATACAGGTTATTTACGGCCGCCTGCATGAGTTAATGCCCGGGAGATTTTAAAGTTTGATTCCCGTGAAAGACTTACATGAAACTCTAGGTCGTTCCTTCTATCTTTAAATT